CGCTACCTGAAGTAGTCTCAGCCTGCTACTTCTCCGCCATCTTGACTCTCCCCCAGCATATTTTCTTTTTTTAAACAATGTGTTTCTTAGGTGATTTGGCTGTATATGGACTAAAGGCTCTCTCTTCCAATATAAAACTAGAAAAAGAAATGAAAATTAAAAATTCTTTTCTTTTTTGAAAAAAAAAAAAAAGAAGAAGCATCACCACATCACTTGGTTGCAGCAATTCTACTTCAAGAAGGTTATCCTAAAAAGTATGTACCAAAATGTACATATGAGAAGTTCATTGTGTAGCATTGTTTATAATAAATAGTGAAAACTTGGAATCAACAAAATGTCTATGTAATGACCAAATAATGTGCTATAGTATAGCCTTTCAAAATATTGAAGTAATTTATAGTACTTATTTAGAAACAGCTCTAGAACATTAGGGGAGAAAAACAGACTTCTAGTTTCTAGCCCAACATGTAAGGACAGAAATTCAATCAATAATTAATAACCTTGCCAAACAGAGAGCAACAGACCCAGATAAGTTCCGTAGAGATTCTACCAAACATTTAAGGAAGAAATTATACCAGTTGTTAAAACAATTTCTTCCAGAAGTTAGAAACAGAAGGAATACTTCCTAACATATTCTATGAGGCCAGCATTTATCCTCATACCAAAATGAGACAAAGTCATTACAAGAAAGTAAAACTACAGACCAATAACTAATAAGCATAAATGTAAAAATCCTCAACAAAACATTAGCAATTTGAACTAGCAATATAGAAAAAAAATTATACACCAGAACCAAGTGGGATTTATCCCAGGTGTGCAAGGCTGGGGTGGGGCAACATTCAAAAATCAATTAATGGAACCCATGACATCAACAGGCTAAAGAAAAAGCATGTAATCATATTGATAGATACAGAAAAACATTTGGAAGCAGCAATACCCGTTCATGATAAAACTTAGCAAATTAGGAACAGAGGAAAACTTCTTCAACGGCATAAAGAACATCTACAACAAACCTACAGCTAACATCGAACTTACTGGTGGGAAATTTGAAGCTTTGCCACTAAGATATTTATACTTTGAATGGAATTTATTCTTTCTGAGAGGATACAGTAGGGAGTTGCTTCTGACCACGGCAGGAGCACCACTGTGCACCTTGAGGCGGGAAGTGTGACCTTTGGCCCAGGCCACAGCTCCCTGACCCTTAGCCTCTTCCCTCAGCTAGTAGTAAAAGCGTTACTCCACGTGACATCTCTGTGTTTGGGTCTGCCCCACAGACCTCTGACTCCAAGGGTCTCTCACATGAGCTAGACCCCACGGCTCCCATCACTGCAGAAACAGGAAAGCTTGGTTCTCCCCTCCTCACCTTAGGGACTCCCTTGCTGGCTGAAGTCTTGGATTTTTTGTAAGCAATTTGCAAGTTTTAACACAAATCAGTCTACATTCATTCCTAGAAGGCTCATTTCCAGTAAAAAATACATACCAGTCAAAACATTCTCACAGGAGAACTAGAACAGGGGGGTTAAAAGGAAACCTGGGCCCCATACACCAAAAGTGACTCTCAGGGCCAGCTTGAGGGCACAGCCCTGGTGGGGGCTCTTCTCCATCTTCAGATCCAAGTGTGGGACTCACCTACAGAGTGAACCCAAATGTAAACTGCAGACTTGGGGTTATAACAGGGTGTCAGTGTGGGCTCCAAGATTGTGACAGGTCGCTCTGGTGTGTGATGTTGCTAATAGAGCAGACTGTGCCTGTATGGGGACGGGATACATAGGAACTCTCTGTACTTCCCACTCAGTTGTTCTGTGGACCTAAAAATGCTCTTTAAAAAAAATAGGTTTTTTTAAAAAGCAGGCATCAGGGACGCCTGTGTAGCTCAGTAGGTTAAGCCACTGCCTTCTGTTCAGGTCATGATCCCAGGGTCCTGGGATCGAGTTCCGCATCAGGCTCTCTGCTCAGCAGGGAGCCTGCTTACCCCTCTGCCTCTACCTGCTTGTGCTCAATCTCTCTCTCTCTCTCTCTCTCTCTGATAAATAAATAAATAAATAAAATCTTTTAAAAGAGGATATCAGTAATACATATGATATAATCATATTTATGTTAAAACCACACACACACACACACACACAGAACTATACCTATCTAAGGGTGCCTGAGTGGCTTAGTTTGGTTAAGCGTCTGCCTTCAGCTCAGGTCATGATCTCAGGGTTGTGGGATCAAGTCCTGCACTGGGCTCCCTGCTCAGGGCGGATTCTGCTTCTCCCTCCCCCTCTGCCTCTGTGCTTTCTCTCTCTCTCTCTCTCTCTCTCTCTCTCTCTTTCTCTCTCTCTCTCTCTCAAATAATAAATAAAATATTTTAAAAGATAAAAAGAAGAGCTATACCTATCTATACCTACCTAAGCCTGTATGTACGTCAGTGTATATCAATACCTATGTCTGTATTATTTGTATAGACTAACCCTGTAACAGTGTCAGCATCAGAGATGAGGGTGGGGGAAGGGAGAGGCACCTTCTGCTGTGCTTGATAGTTCTTAGCCTCCTAGCTTTTTGGCAAAGAGTACCTGCTCACTTATGTAAGTAAGGCCAAAAGGAGCTTGCTGTTAGGCACATGTTTCTGAGTCCTCCCTTCAAGGAGGCATGAGAGGGTAATGCTGCCTGGCAGTTTCAAAGCACAAAGTCATAGCACTTGTAGCACACTTACTTACTCAGCAAGTATTTTTCTGAGTGCCTCATTTGGACCAGGCATTTGTCCAGACTCTGGGGACACCAAGGGTGAAGGAGAAATAGCCCCTGTGATCCCAGCTCAGGGTGCAAGCAGCCCCCAGGGAAGGGGAGAGTGGTTTTTTGGTTTTTTTTTAAGATTATTTATTTATTTATTTATTTGACAGACAGAGATCACAAGCAGGCAGAGGCAGGAGGTGATGGGGGGGTGGGTGGGGAACAGGCTCCCGGCTGAGCAGAGAGTCTGATGCGGGAATTGATCCCAGGACCCTGGGATCATGACCTGAGCCCAAAACAGGCTTTAACCCAATGAGCCACCCAGGTGCCCCAGGAGAGTGGTTTTTAACCTGGTTTTCTCCCAGGCTTCCAAAGTTCTACATGGTTTGGAAAAGCTGACTGTGACTCCTTGTCCTCAGAGAAGCCATGTGGAGACCCGCCTTCGTTCCCACACACCATCCTGCAGGGCCGCACGGGCCTGGAGATGGGGGATGAGCTGCTGTACGTGTGCGCCCCGGGCCACGTGACGGGCCACCGAGAAACTGCCTTCACCCTGCTGTGTAACAGCTGTGGGGAGTGGTACGGCTTGGTGCAGGCCTGCGGAAAAGGTAAGCTGCCCGCCAACCCTGGGAGCACAGCCACACCATTTGTGCTCCTGCCTTTCAAAGACACATTCACATCTTTCCCCTGAGTTCCGGGAGCTGACAGCATCTCCACTCTGACTTATCTAGAAAGTTAACCTGGAAATCTGATCGAGATGCTGTACCAGGAGATAATGCTTATGGTGAAAGTGACCCCGGATTGGTAAACCGGCCTGGAGGGCTGTCATGAATGCAGGCTTCCAGCCCAGCTTCCCTGAGGGGCGAAACTTGTGACTGGACATAACCCTTATGGGGACCTTGTGGGCTTTGCTACAGCTTGTGACAGGAGCTTCTGGCTCTTTGGGGCATGCAGCTTGGAAACCAGGGAGGGTCCACTTGAAGTCCTGCTCCCTTGCCCCGGAGCAGTCCTGGGGGTGTTGCGGGGGTGGAGGGAGAGGCAGGGAGAATGCTCTAAGACAGCTGTGTGGCCTGGGCCCGCTGACAAGAGCCGCCAGTCGCTGCCCTGCAGTCTTGCTGTATTCCCTGGCGTGTAGCCTATGGCAATCATGAGAGCTGACATATTTAGTTGAGACTGAACAGACTGCTGGTGGGCCTCGACAGAAACCTGATCTGGTTCCCCTAGATGGCCTCACTCCACTATTGTCGTATACCTGGGGGTCACAGGCTTCTGTATCCCACCTCCACCTAGCCCTTTGGGGGTTCTCCCAGGAGCAGAAATCACTGTCCCCAGCCATGGGCTGACCTGGCCTCCCCACTCTTGACCTGATGGCTTCATGCCAGTCTCTGAATTGTTCCCTGGCCTCACAAGGCTCCTCTTACCCCAAGACTCCTTCAGGGACCACTTCCTGATCCCCACGATATCTGGGTACCAAGCGGAGGCTGGCTCCATGGAGGGGAATGACTCCACCATGGAGGGGAACGACTCCAGCATCACAATGTGAATGAATTTATTGGACAGTCTGTGCCTAGAGTGTCGCAGATCCCATGGGACCTTGATGAGACTAGGGTGCTGTACTTGTCTTCGAGGTTCATCCACGCTGTTGACTAAGCTGTGGTCTGTTGTCGTCACTGATATTTACTAGTGTGAAGACAGCACCATTTACTTTTCCAATGTGTTGGTGGACCTCTGCCTTGTTTTCGTTTGGCGGCCACCACAAGCCATACTACTGTGATTGTGCTCACCCAGGTCATTTAGTTCACATGTGAACTTATTTCTATGGGTTCCAGGGCGTGGAATTGTGGCTCATGGGTTAGGTGTGTCTTCAGTGTTAGTGGATACTGCCAGAGAGTTTTCCAGAGTATTCCGACCATTTTACTCTCTTGCCTGAGAGTAAATGAGAGTTCCCATTGTTCATCATCCTCACCAGCCTTCGGGTTTTGGGAGACTTTTACCTGTTTGCCCATCTGGTGACTAGCCTGGGATGACTTAGTTGTGATATTCATTTGTCTGGTTGAGCACTTACTACATTTTAAATAGGCACTAGCATTTCCTCTGTAAAAGTCTATCCAAGTTTCTTGCTCATTTTTCTAATTGATTTGATTTATATAATGTAGGGTTTCTTTTTTATATAAAACTTTCATAATGTGGGGCGCCTGGGTGGCTCAGTGGGTTAAAGCCTCTGCCTTCAGCTCAGGTCATGGTCCCAGGGTCCTGGGATCGAGCCCCGCATCGGGCTCTCCGCTTCTCAGGGAGCCTGCTTCCTCCTCTCTCTCTGCCTGCCTCTCTGCCTACTTGTGATCTCTGTCAAATAAATAAATAAATAAAATTAAAAAAAAAAAACAACTTTCATAATGTGTTGCAAACATTTTCTCTCATTCTGTGGGTTTCTCCTCTTGGAGGATCTTTTAATGAACAGGTTTTTTTCTCTTAATTGTTTATGTCAACTTTTTGAACTGTGGAGCATTAAAAATTGTTTTCTAGCATTGGCAGACAACTACTTTAGCAAAATACAGTAAAAATCAATTAATATAAAGCTAAAATAGGGATGTCTGGGTGGCTCAGTTGGTTAAGCATCTGCCTTGGGCTAAAGTCATGATCTCAGGACCCTGGGGATGGAGTCCCACATAGGGCTCCTGGCTCAGCAGGGAATCTGCGTCTCCCTCCCCCTCTGCCCTTCCCCCTTCTCATGCTTGCAAGCTCTCTTTCTGCCAAGTAAATAAAATCTTAAAAAAATATATGAACCTAAAATAAAGATATTCCAAACATAAGTACTATTTTTTGTTGAATTAAATAGACATAAAATTCCCCTGCCAAATGGTTATGAAAGCTTCTAAAAACATCCTCTCAGTGTATCTACGTGCCTCGTTGCAGACTAGCAAGAGAAGTCACGGACTGGGACAAGCACTCGAAGCACTGTTTGAGCAATCTTCCGCCACTTTCCTCATCGTCATCATCTTGCTGTTGTTTCGCGGCAGGTAGAGGAGCTCCTTGCCAATACTGATCATTCACCTGCAGGAGAAAATCAGGCATAAGGCCCAAGCTTGCTGTTTGTGAGTGTGTCACCTCCAAGCAGACCCTTAGCCACCCCAAGTTTGCTAACGAGCTGCCTTTACTTCTGGTGAGACTCAGGCGTGGTCATCTCAGGAGCCACACCCACCAGCCACATGGGCTGTTTACAGGCCCTAGCCAAATGAGACCTAAATGCAGGTTTTGTGTATCTGCAGTGGTGTTTGTTTTCTCCCAGCCAGACGGAGCGGTTGGAACTTTCAGCTGGCGGGCAGGAATTCTGGTTTCTGTACTTGGCTGAGTGTACAGACTGTTCCAGTTTTCGTTGCCCTGTAGGTTTAGCATTTCAGCGAGGTGTGTCATTATAAGGGGTGTGTGTGTGTGTGTGTGTGTGTGTGTTACAAGACTATCTTCACCAGGGATTTCACTCCCTCTTGCACATTTTTTTATAGTGAACATCCACTTTTTTTAAAAAAAGATTTTATCTATTTATTTGACAGACAGAGATCATAAGTAGGCAGAGAGGCAGGCGGGGTGGGGGGTAGGCAGGCTCCCTGCTAAGCAGAGAGCCTGATGCAGGGCTTGATCCCAGGACCCTGGGATTATGATCTGAGCCGAAGGCAGAGGCCTTAACCCACTGAGCCACCCAGTCACCCTGAACATCCACTTTTTTGATGAGGGAACTGCTTCAAATTGGTGAAAAGTCATTTCAACGGTCTGCAGTTGGACCCAGGCAGGTTTGGATAACATCAGCTCTTCCCTAGAGGGGCTGATTGGCCACTCACTCCACATCCCTTCCTGCGGCGGGGCCCAGGTGCTGTGTGTGCGGACTGGAGCAAAGCTGTCCCATCACTAAAGGCAACTCCATAAACCAGGTGCCTCCAAGGAGACAGAAGCAGTAGATGATGCAGTGGAAGGGAGAGCCAGAAAGCAAGGTGAAATTTTTAAAGGAAGTGTGCGGAAGTGCTCAATGATGTGACAGGCAGCAGACATCAAGTAAATGAAAGATACAAACGTGTGCTGGGGCTTCGTAGCATGAGAAGGTTCTGGCAGTCCCGTATTCTCATTGTGAATGTGGGGAGTGGACTACTCCTGGGCCACACTGTCGTGAGTGCAGGAATGAACTGGGATGAGAAGAGGGTGGGGAGCAGACAATTCATTCTTGAATCTCTGGGGCACATGAAGAGCACTAGGCAGAAACATAGGTTAGAGCTGGAAGAGGGTCAGGGGACCGAAGAGATCTTGGGGGTTTGTATTTGTTCGCTGGCTTTGTAACCAAAGTAACCTCAGTTACTTTGAGGTGGGAGAGACTGCGGTTAATGTGAATGACAGTGGAAGGGCTTAGGAGAGAGGGGGAAACTGAACTACTTTCTTGACTTCCCTGAGCCTTAATTTGCTCATATGAAAGCATGGATACCAGTTTTCACATAGGTTCCCCCGTAGAGCTCGTGCAGGTGCCTCACTTAGAACAGGACCTGAAAGATCAAAGGGCCCAAGGAGGATTGTTCTTTTCCTTCCACCTTCGTGCTGATCCAGGAGAGCATTCCGGCTCCCTCACTTAAGGGCTCTAAGGGGCTCTGTGCATGACTCTGACTCCTTCCTCACTTCCTTGTGGGTTATTGACTCTAGCCCCTATTACCACAAGTGACCAAAGGCATCTTCTGACTTAGAACTATCTTGTCTGTTCCTCGAGTGGGAAGCAGAGTGTCTCAGGTCCCGAAGGCCAGAAACTGGGGCCATAGCTGTGTCACTCCTCCAGGGGGTGCTTGTCCTTTCTGTACTGGGACCTGGCTACTCACCCTCCTTCCCTCAGGCCCTCAGGACTTGAAACTTGCCCCTACTCTTCCCCCAGAATATTTCCTTTTATTTCCTTGTGAGCTGCTGGTGCCCACTCCAAACCCTCTGGTAGAGGCTGCCTGTAGATGCTGTCTTAGGAGCTGCTCTGCTGAGGTCCTGGTAGAGTCCCTGTCCTTTATTTCCCCTCTCGACCTCTCCAGCCCCAGAGAGCTTCCAGGCATGAGTATCTTGGACATCAAGACTTAAAAGAACTTAGGGGCTCTGATGAGTTTGGTTTGGAGATTCTGGAGGCTTAGGGGGTCAAGATACTATGAAGACTATTCCATTCAAAGTTGGCATTGTATAGACATTTGAAGATTGACTGGACATCTTGGGTCAGATTCTCTAAAAGCAAAGCCTGTTCAGATGCATGTGGTTTACTGGGGGAGGGAAGCAGGATAGGCGAGGAGAGGAGAGGATGTGACCTCAGAGGCATTCTCCCTTGGCTCAATCTCATGAACTGTGCCACAGGGTTGGTCCCACTTGGAAGCAAGGAGGCCATCTCCACCTGTCATTGGTTGCCGAGGCTAGGTGGCATGGTGTGTGCGTGGCACCCAAGCGAGGCTCCCATTCCCCCAAAGGCAGCCCTCCAGAGAAGGGGAACAACAGTGAACCATTAACGGCCAACACTCAAAGTGGCTGGGGGGTGGGTGCACTGGCCTGGGAAAGGGGTCACAGATGGGCCATCAACAGCACCCACCACAGTGGAGAGCATAGTTGCTTA